ATGCTGTGCTGGCCTTGGAACTAGGAATGGTGGCACACGCTTGTAATCCCTGTGCTGGGGAGGTTGAGACTGGAGGATCACTGTGAATCTAAGCTGCATAATGAGACCGTGTGCGAAATAAATAAATAAATAAATAAATGAAACAAATTTAAAAAGAAATTCCCACTATCTATAGAACTGGTGATAAATGCTAAAGAGAATTATCCTCTGATGCAAATGACACAGAAGTCTTTTTAACAAAATTGAAGCTATGTAGCAACAATTTTGTATTTACCTACTTATCTGAAAATATTTTTAAGTGGCTATGATAAAATAAACATTTACTGAATTAATGTTAACATGTTCCTTCAATATTACAATACTTTAAAACTAGTTTGTGTTAGCTGGGCATAGTGGTGCATTCCTATAAGCCCAGTACTTAGGAGGCTGAGGCAGGAGGCTCACCAAGAGTTAAAGGCCAGCCTGAACTGCATAGTGAGACCCTTATTCAAAAAAAGTTTGTTTTAATTTTATAAAAAAACATCAAAAATACTTTCAAAATTCAGAAATGATGAAAATAATACCTATAATTTATGGCACCTATTCAGTATGATGCAGTTTGAGAAGTTTGTCTCCCATACTTACTTCCTGTATATTTCCCAGAGAGAAGGGAATAAGGGGCCTAGTGTTTTCAATAATTTCAGGGTCAGAAATAAACAGAATTATAACACAGAAAGACAATTCTTGTTCAAAGATGATTAAGGTTGCTTCAAACAAAAGCATTAGCAAGAAGAGAATACTTAATTTGGAATGTGTCCTTTTTTAAAATTATACATACATATGTTTGTCAAAATGGAATTTGACAATAGCCAATGCCAACTGTGGTCATAAATAGATTAAATATGTATTCACATGAAGCCTAAAACACAAAATACGAAAGCAGTCATTATTTATGAGAGGTGTGATTATGAAATCTACTTTCTTCAGGAAAGAAATTGACCTTGTCTTTAAAAAATTTTTTATGGTTCTCACCCAAACTGTATATACAGACACCTGTGAACTAAGCAACTGCACTGAAGATGGCAATTTATAATAGTAGGTTCATGTTTGGTGTGCCTGTCATTCTGGTCTTATGAATACAAGCTGCTTGTCATGACATGCCACTTGCTGCTTGCTGTCTCTCGGGTAGATGATTGTTCAAAAAGAAGGGGGTGGTGAATGAAGGCAGGAGACAGGAAAAGGAATTTTGCGGTACTATCCTGCTACAAGGTTGTATATGGTTAGATTTCTGGACTTATG